CGATATCCCGAGCGCGAACAAACCCACAGGTGACAACATTGTCCCCTCGATATTGGAATTCGCCGACGTCGCGTCTAACAGCACTTTGACAAAAAGAGCGCTCAACTCCACAGGTCCAATTAGCGAAGAAGCCAATCCCGACGGTGGTTACAAATACAGTGTGCCAGCAGAGCTTGTAGAAGCTGCTCGTATCCTCGCTGAGTCGACACCGCAACATGTTTCGACCGGCAACCAGAGCGACGTCGCCTCGAAGATCAAGGCTAAGTATGCCCTGAAAGTCAACGATACTAACGCGATGCCTGCGTCCTTCGCCATGACGGAAATGCCATCCATACTTCCTGTTTCTTCCAATCAGACGACTTCTCTCGAGTCTAGTGGTCTAAAGAAACGAGCGTCCAAGTATTGGATGGCCAACATGCAACAGCTAGGCTCTAGTCCCTTCGCACCCAAGGATTACAAGGTAACTATTCGTGCCATAACCACCTTTGATCTTACGTTGACAAGATGCAATACAGGTTTGGAGAGACGTGCGCGACTATGGTGCAAAAGGTTCGTTTCCAGCTCTCTGGCTCCCAGGAACTTACAGTTGAATGATCACTAATACTAAGTCTTTTCCAATCAGGTGATGGAGTCACCGACGATACGGGTAAGTCAAAGTTATCATCGAACTCTCATCATGCGTTCATGCTTACTCATTCGTTCATCAGCTGCCATCAATCGCGCCATCTCTGATGGCAATAGATGTGGTGCCAACTGTGGCTCGAGCACTATCCACCCGGCTGTCGTCTTCTTCCCCGCAGGAACATACCTCGTCAGCAGTTCAATTATTCAGTATTACAATACGCAGCTACTGGGTGACGTATGTCTCAAGCAACCATTCTACGACAAGTCATCTTGACTAACAAATGTCTTCTAGCCAATCGATGTTCCGACTATCTTGGCTGCTTCAAGTTTCGTTGGCCTCGGTGTCATTACCTCCAACCAGTATATTGGCCCAGGTCCTACTGACGAATGGTGAGTGCTAATCGGGTTCTGAGTTGACGCCATTCTCTGACTACAGTCCATTCTAGGTACGTTAATCAGAACAACTTTCTGCGAAGTGTGAAGAATTTCAAGATGGACATCACGCAAACACGCTGGGATGCGTACGTATGTGCGATTCACTGGCAAGTTGCTCAGGGTACCTCCTTGGAGAACATTGAGATGCACATGTCTTTCGATGAGAATACTACACAGCAGGTGAGTTGTGCGGCAGGCTTGAGATGCGCATCGTCACTGTTACCATTCATTGCTGACGTCCTACTAAGGGCATATATATGGAAAACGGCAGCGGAGGCTTCATGAGTGACCTGACCTTCGTTGGCGGAAACTTCGGGTGAGTGGCATCCATACTTATGTTGCATTTGTGACTGATGCATCAAACTACTAGCGCCTACTTTGGAAACCAGCAATTCACAACAAGCCATCTCGTGTTCGTCAACTGTAAAACCGCTGTGCAAGTACACTGGGATTGGGCATGGACGATGCAAGATATCGTTGTTGAGTCATGTAAAACAGGTATTGTGATAGTAGGAGGTGTAAGTGCCAACCACTTCAGTTCCCGAACAACTCAGATGCCGATACTGACGTAACTCAGGCTGGCGGTGTCGGAAGCACAGGTCAAGCTGTGGGGTCTCTTGTCCTTGTCGACGCTGTCATCGCCAACACACCTACCGGAATTAGCACCACGCTGTTCAAGGAGAACTCTACGTCTCTTCTTCTTCAAAACGTAGGTTTCTTCAATACGAAGACCGCGGTATACGAAGAAGCTGCAAAGAAAGATCTTCTGGCGGGCGGCAACGAAGTGAAGGTTGAGTCTTGGGGATTCGGTATGCTCAACACGCCTGATGGATCAACTTTTGTCAACGGCCAGAACATTCCCGCCGTCAAGCGACCAGAGATACTCCTTAGCCCAGACACGGCATATGCCGGCCCCAACCTCTACACAAGAAGGCGACCAAAGTACCTCGACATCGGCTCCACCCAAGTGCTCAACGTGAAAGCTCTTGGAGCCAAAGGTGACGGCAAGACGGACGACACCAACACCCTGAACGGTATCTTGGACTTGGGTGCCAGAACTTCGTCTGTGGTGTACATTCCGTTTGGAGTTTACATCGTCAAAGACACCCTCAAGATCCCGACTGGTTCACGAATCGTCGGTCAAGCATGGGCACAGATTATGGGAACAGGAGCAAACTTTGAGGATGCTTCGAAGCCCAGGCCTGTAGTCATGGTCGGTTACAGAGGCGAGGTAGGTAGCGTCGAAATCCAGGACATGCTTTTTACTGTTTCAGGACCCACGGCCGGCGCTGTGGTAGTGGAGTGGAATACGCGTGAGTCCAGCCAGGGCTCAGCTGGTTTATGGGGTGAGTATCGTAGGTGTCCTTTAAGTTCTTCCTCTAAGCTAACCTCTATTTCAGATTCGCACATCCGTGTTGGAGGAGCGATAGGATCGAAGCTGCAGAAAAACGACTGCCCCAAGCTCACCGGCACTGTCAACAAGAACTGCATCGCGGCTTCCATGCTCCTTCACCTAACGCCTCAGTCATCCGCATATGTAGAGAACTCGTGGATCTGGACGGCCGACCACGACTTGGATATCGTTTCACAGGATCAAATCGACATTTATGTCGCCCGGGGTGTCTTGGTAGAGTCTCAGGGCCCAACTTGGCTCTACGGGACAACTTCCGAGCACAATGTTTTATACCAATACCAATTCTCCAACGCCAAGAACATTTTGATGGCTATGATTCAAACGGAATCACCATACTTCCAGGATGTTCCTAAAGCCCCGGCCCCATTTCAGCTTGGCGGCTTCAGCAACGATCCTTCGTTCTACGACTGCTCTAGTAGCTCATCCAAGTGTGCCGTATCGTGGGGCGTACGCATCATTGACTCTAAGCAGATACACGTCTTAGGTGCTGGTATGTATTTTGCAAAATCTGTTTGCTATATAGTTAGCAAGGCTGACCTTACTCCAACTAGGTCTTTACAGTTGGTTCTCAAGGTATTCACAAGACTGTCTCAAAACAGAAGACTGTCAAGATCGCGTCTTTGAGATTGACCAGAGCACCAACGTCTGGATCTACAATCTCTGCACCAAGGCTGTTCGCGAGATGGTCAGTCCCGTCAAGAGCAAGGCCACCATGGCAAAAGACAATCAGAACGGATTTCTCTCTTCCATCCTTGCCTGGGTGCGCAACGGTACCATCGGAGAGCGCGATTTCCCCGGCTTCACCCTGTACAATGCGACTCAAGACGAGGATATGCTCGATGGTCTTTCTGAGGGATGCAAAACGGCATTGACAGGAATCATCAAGTGTGACTACTACGCTACACGCTTGCGCGAGCTCCGATACCGAGGCGCGTTGGAAAGCAAAAATCTGACAGATTCAGTCTGCGATAAGGGCTGCGGCCGATCGCTCAAAGCTTGGTTCGACACTGTGACTTTAGCTTGCGCGGGAGCCAAGGTGAACGACGCCATCCCTAATCGCTCTGGTGGCATCGTTTGGGCAGGTTGGAACGAGACGTGCCAGATGGACTCTGGTTCCGAACAATACTGCGGAGGTGAGTCGTCCCTGCACTCATACCCTGCCGTACATCACGGTCTAACTTTTCGATTCCAGATGTCATGAACAATTTCAAGACGGTATACGACATCAAGGATATGCCGCGAAATGAGCTGTGTTCATACTGTCACGTAGAGAGACTCCGAATGATGCAGTCAAGTGCCTACTCGACCTACGACGAGGATTGGAAAAAGGACTTGGAGTACGTTTACTCAACCTGCGGCCTGAGTGGACCCACTGCAGTTCCTCCGCCTCTCGTGGTAGTTGAGCCTGAGGCGCCCGGTCTCTGCATATCGGATCAGGTCTACACAGCTAAATCGGGAGACACATGCGACTCGATAGCGCTCGCGAATAGCGTCGCATCGGCAGCGCTAAAGATGGCGAACTCGAAGCTATACGGATGCAACGACATCAAAGCAGGCGAGGAACTCTGTCTCCCTTTGACTTGTCCCAAACTGTACACCCTCCAAAAGGACGACTCATGCGTTTCCATCGAAATGGCGCAGAACTTGACGCTGGGAGATGTCAGACGGTACAACCCGTGGCTGAACCTCGACTGTCCAAACCTCCACGTTGCGACGCCTGTGTTGGGAAGTGTGCTCTGTCTGGGGCCACAGGGTGCCAATGTCACCACAACCGCCACGCTCCCCAGCGGCCCCACGGCGGCGCCTGCGCCAGGCGACGGGTACACAGATGCTCCTGTCGATCCGCCCAAGGGGGCAACTGTTGCTAAGGGCACTACACTCCGCTGTGGGCGATGGTCTGTGGTTGCCGATGCGGCGCAGACATGCACGAGCATGTGTGTCCAAAATGGCATCACGTCGGAACTGTTCTTGGCGGCCAATCCGTCCCTCAATGCAGCAGATTGCTCGGCCTCGCTGAAGATGGACCAGGCGTATTGTGTTGGACCCGTCTGGCAATGGCAATCTGACCCTATTACGAGCATGCCAGAGCTGACTTCGACTGCTGCGCCACAGCAAACTCGATCCGCTAGTGGTGTTTAGATAGTGTCCTTCCTTGTAGAAGATAGATCCATCATTCTTGTATCTCGGTTTCGCGGTAGCAGTCACCTCCATTGTCGTCCCGATTTTAACCAAGCAGTCACGAACTCGCCGAGTAAAGTCGAACACAAGATTTCCAGTCTATATAGCAATTTGAATGACCAGCAAAGACAAGAAGGTAAATGCATTCTCGAAGACGTTATTCACCAGTCATTCATTACTTGTGTATATCATTATTACTTATCCAATTCGGCCATGTATATATCCCAGCCATACCCACAATATCCTTTAATACAAAGTTCTTATCATCGCTCATGAAACGGAATATAAAAGGGGGAAGGAAAACGCAACATGGCGTACCCATCTGTCCTGCATCCCATTCATTCATCCATCAATCCCTATTGATGACTCTCAAACTCCGCCTAGGATTCAACAAAACACCCTTGGCGCCCCAGAAACTCGGCTCTTGACCATCCAACAATCCATCCACAACACTCCCTTCACTATTTCTCCTCCCCCACTGATCCCCCGCGCCTCCATAAGCAGTTGCATCACCCACACCACTATTTCTTCTTCCAATGTCAAATGAGCCAGCAGCAGCGCCACCGTGACTGCTCCTACCACCCATGGTACCCGGCGGCCTCTCCGAACTGTTTGTACCCGAAGACGAAGTAAACGTGCCCCCTTGCTTCTCCGCAGCATTAGCCCGCGTTTGCACAGCGGCGGCATGTGACTTCCAGATCTGGACTTGACGGCGGTAGATCCACGCGCAAAACGCAAAGTACGCAGCGATAACCGCAAAGACACCTGCAATCACACCAGCAATGATGGCACCAATGTTCGGTCCGCTGTCGCCTGATGAGCTACCCTGAGGGTTCCCGTTGATGACGTTGGTAATCGTCGCGCCGTCCGGTCCAGTCATGGTGTACGTCTGCGGTTTGCCAGTTGCGAGCGGGCCTTGGGTGGGTGTCTGGACGGGAGCAGTGAGCGTTGCGCCGCCTGTTGCTGCGCCACCAATGACAGACTGGACGGCGTCCGGGACAGCATAACCATAAGAGCCCTCGATACCTGCATTGACGCCGAAACCGCGTTGGTTGATTTGTTGGGCGAGAGGGTTACCGGTGCTACCTTTGTCCTTGGCGTTGTATCCCTGAAGCGCGTTCTTGCCCGTTACGGCAGTGAATTGGTTGCTCCAGCCCAAACTGCTCATGTTGAAGACGTAGATGCCAGGGGCGTCGCAGCCAAGATCTGTGTTGTAGCCACCGAGAACAATCATTTGAGCGTCCCAGACTTGGCAGAGGTGGCCGGCACGAGGAGGGGGGATGGAGGCTTTGTCGGTGCCTTGGTCGACCTCGATCCAGGAAAATGAGGGGATGGAGAGGATCCACATGTCATCGCGTTGGGTTTGGGTGCCTGGGTCGCCGAGATCTTGACCGGCGAACATGTAGATGTTGTATGATGAGCCGCTAGCAGTGGCGTTAGTACGGATGTCGAGTGAAAATGAAGCTTGGCTGGACTCACTCTGCAGCAGCTCCTACGACAGTACAAGGGTTGACTCGGTACTTGGGCGTCTTCCCGGAGGTACTTTGCTTGTACCAAGTCGATGTCGAAATATCGTAAACATCGATGGTGTTCATTTGCGTCTGAATTCTGTTAGTATCTTGAAGTCATCTCGGCACAACCGAACCTACAAAAGTAGCATTATCACCGCCGGTCAACCCAATTAGGAGACCCTCGTCACCAAAACCAGGAACGTAGACAAGAGAACTATCCGCGCGTTCAGGGAACGAGGCCGTGTTCTGCAATCCACCGTAGGTAATATTGCGCCATGCGCCATCGGATCCAGCCGTCTTTCCATCGCCCAGCGACTCAACAGCATTGTTAGTCTGTCCCGGGAAAGTAAACTCCAGCAAGCTCTTCAGGTACACTCGCGGAGTCTGAATGCTCCAGCCCTCGGTCGTGAGAAAGTCGAGATGACCAGCAAAGTAGAAGCCCCTGCCCAGCGTAGGAACAGTAAGACCAGCGCCTTCGGCAACGCGTTGTACAGATTGACCAGCGTCCTCCGCCTCCTGTCCAGCTGAGGTCTTCGGGTCGGCGTGTTCGATCCATTGCTTGCCGCCAATGTTGTATTCCCAAATAGAGTTGTTCGTGGGGTCGGCTTGCGGACTATCAGAGAACTGACCGCCGTATAGCCAGAGCGAATCGTGCGATGCCCAGAGTTGGCCGAGCGAGACGGCTGGTGGTCCTTGTGGCTTGGGCAGACCGGTCAGAGCGGGAGAGCTGACTTGCCAGGATTCGGTGAGATCGAGCGTGAGGAAATCGTTGTCTGGGTCAAGTTAGCATTGCGCGCAAATGCGATGATTTGCAATTCGCTACATACTCCATGTGTCCTGGGTCTGTTGGCCATCGGTGGTTCGGCGGAATCCGTACATGTATAGTGTCCCGTTCACGACGGCGCTTTGTCCGCTCCACCGTCTACACGCATCAGTCGGGCTATCCTCTCGTCGCACGAGCATCGAGCGTTCAGAGTTGGCCTGAATAGCGTGCGTTGGAATAGTACCACCCCGTACTCCAATGTGTTTGAGGGGATTGAGTTGGATAATTGGTAGCATCAGTGCCAGTAAGACACTGAAGAGGCCAAATCGATATAACTTGGTCGGGATAAACGATTGCGATGTGGTGATGTACGAGTCGTTTGCGTCGTCCTCGTCGCATGATTCCCAGTCATCTTCGTCGTCGGCCAACCTCTCTCCCTCGGCATTGAAGATACTGTTCGTACTCCTAAATCTGAGCATCTTCGCTGGCCGCAGCCGCCTCAAGCTCTTCCCATGTGTCGGTATAGGACTCCTCTCCTCTTGGATTCTGTTCTCGTCCACCAATCCAACCTCTGTGAATATCGACATGCGGCGGCCCTCAGCACGTGTCGCAGGCTGTGCTCGAACCCGCTCCATGACTATCAAAGTATTATCGCAAACTGCAAACTCGGTGGTGCAACGCCTGTGGTCGCGTGCGCGCGTGCAAAGAGCGTAAAACGGGCCGTTTGAAAGCGAATACGAATCGTGTGTCGCAAACGTAAAAGGGTTTCCGTCGTCAAGTGAATGAGGTGCAAAGGGTTCGCGGCTAAATGGTCAAGATGACGTCGTGTTATTCAGGAACAAGGTCCGCACCCTTGACCGATTCCGCCTCTTCACTCGTCGAGGGACGGGACAACAGCCGGGGACTATGTGCCGATGGGCGTGAAAAGAAAATGGTTCGATTCGACGGCAACTGGTAACAAGAGATTCGATCGGTAAGCAAGCGCAGGACGCTGATTTGCGTCGAGGTCAAACAGCCGGAATGACAAGCAGGTGTTGTGTTAGCGAACGACGACGGCCACAGCGGAATGGTTTGTAGCGAGCAGGGCAGTGCAGAAATGAATCAACAGAGCCAAATCAGAGATGATTAGGATAGTACGAGTAAGATGGAAGGGGAAAGGCAAACACTCCAAATGTGGAGTGCATACTGACGGCCTCGCTTCATCCCCTCGCCTCATTGAACCCGAGAGACGACGCTGACTGGCCCGCGCAGCCGTGGATAGACAAGGTGCGTCATGGAGGACGCCGGCAGGGTACGACTACGTGAGCAGGGTACACCAAGAACGGCAACGATCGATAATGCTGATAAAGGCGATTGGCTTTGCAACGTTCCAAGCCCGCGCCGCATTGGTCACGACACGGCGGTTTGGCAAGGAGAGGAGCAGTCGGACGAGTGATGGACTAGGGATCATTCCCTGCGCTAGGGCCCACTTGGCTTGGCCTATGTCAGGCGCTGCGGGCATGTCATCCTGGAGTAGACTTGGAAGGTCGTTGTGACGAGGCGGTCATGATGTCCTCAGCCTATGACACTTGTTTCCGCCGCCAGCTTTTCCACCTTCCTCTTGTCTACTTTTTTACCTTGTCTTGAACGTTTCGCAACCTTCATGTCCAGCAGTAGAATGTGACTGGGTTCTGCCTTCCCCCCTCCTTCGACACCCACTTTCAATCAAAGTAATAAATCACACCACCCACCCGTACGGCGCGAACAGCGTATGTCCGTATTGTAGACCCTAGCTAATACGTTTACGGGTCCCCCGGAGATTTCGATAGCCTGTGCAGCGTGCAGTAGCTCTTGGCGCGTGTTTCGTGACCCCTCTAGAATTCTAGTTCATGTTTAAATCTATTTTCGCGCATCCGTTGCGCGTGTGCCACGGTGCTGGAATGTACCGTACTCTTTTTTTTTTTTCTCCCTTTCTTGTTACCGACCGCCGTTGTTGTGCTGGGTCAACGGGCGTAAGCGCGTTGAGGGTGGCGGTGCAGCTGTTTCGTTTGTTCTAGATGTTTTCGGACCGCACTGCATCCGAATGTACAACAGCGACTTTGCCTTCGCCTTCGCCCGTCGCATCGAGTGATGCAGGGTTTTTGCTAGGCATAGCCATGACTGCGCTACACATGCGAAGCGCCTATCGTGTGGCTCGGCGTGGGTAACAATGGGGAAGGCGCGATCTCGGGTGCCAACCGAGTCAAGTGGCGATGGGCTTGCTTGGGCACTGGCTTCGTCCATACAGGTCACGACGACAAGTTGCATAACCGGGGGCTTGGCAACTGAACGAAGCCTGGATTTGTGCGGCTGAAGGTGCTGCGGTGCTCGACAACACACTGCCTCTGGTGGACCATGAATGAATTGGAAAGACCTGTAATATACGATGCAATAATCACCGAATGTGTTCGAGCAGTTTCCATATTAGTCTTCTAGAGAAGCGATGCGTTGCATGCATGTAGACAATACAGCACGAGATCGAAGTGCTCGAGCATTGCGGGACCGAAGCACGTAGTGACCGGCTTAGCTTTGGTAGTAGTGTTGGTTTAGTCCCATAGGCCAGAGGTCACGCAGACAAGGAATACGAGGCTGGAGATACTACTAGATAAGCCAGCACATTGCCTAGTAGGTTGGAAGTCAAACGTACGTATGCTTCTAGTGGACAATCTCAATGACATCTATCTAAATGCTCCTTTGTAGATTACAATACTTGCAAAACACAACAGATCTTTGCATAATTAATGTCTCGCGAATTACATCAACTTTATTTGTCCCTCACACGCGCTACTTGTAAATTATTCACACGCTAAGGGTAAGCAAAAGCAGCGAGAAGTGCTCACGGGTTTATTGTGCCTTGTAAAGCACTCCAAGCACACTACAATAAATATGAAAAAGTACGTTGTACCATCTCGGTACTTAACGAATTAAGAAAATCTATGCATACTTCATATCAGAGCACAGATATCTAACGTTGGTAGCTGACAGCTTTTCTTTAAATCTTTTCCCCAAATCTTCACTCTTGTACCAAAAGCGTACCATGTCACGCATTCGTCAAACTACGCCTCATGCATAACCATGTACTTCTACCACTATTGTACACACGAAAATGCGAAACCAATCATTCCCGAGTCAATAACGACCCGACCCAATAGCCTTTTATTCCGCCAGTAGAAAAAAAAAGGAAGGAAAGAAACTTCCCCTTGTCCTAAGCCTTAAAGCACTCTCCCTACTCCAGCGAATAATACTCCTCAATCTCACCCCCATGCTCCCCACTAACAAAATCCATAATATCATCCACCGTTCCCGGCAAATCCTCCGTATCAACCTCCTTCCCACTATCCTTAATCAACTGAACCATGTCCTCAAACGCCGTCCTCAGCGTCTCTTCTGACCAGATGTAATTGCGATCCTCGGTTGACATTTCTTCGGCAACACCTTCCCAGTCGATATCGCCTTCTTCCTCATCACGACGTTCTTGCAGTCTGGCAATGAGGTCGTAGAGGTCGCCCCATTGCATTTTGGACGAGTCGGACACGATGGGTTTTGAGGAACCGGGGTTGGTGGTTGGAGTAAGACTGGATTGAGATTTTTCCTCATCGTGGGGCAGGGTCTCGTCTTGCTTCTGGGGCGGCGTGGCATCGCTGTTCGCATCGGACTGATTGCCGTCCACGTCCGCTGCCGGGCTATGGGGCGGGATACTCGCTTGATCCACCTCTTCGCCGAAATGCTCCTCATCCTCCTTTTGGGATGTAGCATCACTATTCGCTTCTGACTGGTCGTCGTCCAAGTTTTCTGCAGGGCCGTTATGCGTGACATCGAGTTGTTTCTCTTCCTCAGCAAGCTCCTCGTCGTCTTTCTGCGACACAACGTCACCACTGTCCGCTTCTGACTGCTCAGCGTCCATATCTTTTGCTGGACTGTCCGGCGCAACACGGGGCTGATCGTCTTCATCCTCAATCGGATCGTCGTCTTCGTCAATATCCCGTGGTTCTTCGTGGCCATCGTCCAGTCGTTGATTTGGAACATTGTTGGGCCTGATGCTAGATGCGGATGTTGTATTTTCCTCCACATCGTTGCCATTGCTCCCTACTTGCTCGGACTGGTCTTCCTCTCGGAGCTCCAGATTTTCAACCGATTCCTTTGCCGCTTTTGATTTCCGCCGTTTCTTCGGCTCCTCCGACTCGGTATTGCCATTCTTCCGTGATCGCCCACGTTTCTTGGACGGCGGCGACGAACGTGTCGTGTTTTGATCGACATTAACGTCCTCGTCATCAGGATCCTCTATCTCATCCCTGATCTTACTCTTCTTCGACTTTTTAGGCTTCTCACCCTCCATACCCTGAATCTTCCCGGACTTTCGACGTTTCTTCTTCGTCGGCGAGCCATTCGTTTCCCTGTTCGCTTGTTCGTCTTCGTCTGAATCATCAACGATGTCATCTGGCTCAGTCGTACGGAAATTCATCGATTTCTTCACGACTGAGCTCTCGCGCAGAGAAGGGCGACCACGTTCCTCCGATGGAGGCGCGTCGTGGACTTCATCGTCGTCCGACGTGTTGATAAACATCTGCGACTTGATAACATGATGACCTCTAGGTAAAGGTATCTGACCCTCGCCCTGCTGCGGTCTACCACGTTTCCTAGGCGTCGGGTCGGATGCCGTAAGTCCAGAAAGTGCGGACTTGTTCGTTCTCGGCTTGTGCTCCACCTCAATGTGCGGTGGAGGGTTGCGTTTCTGCAGGTTCTTCCATTTCGCCACGACCTGTATCCGGCTTCGAGTGTTGTCCATCTCACGACTGACTTGTTGCCAATTGATGTGTTTGATCGTATATTCATCCACGGGCGGCAGTCCTTGTTCAGCGCGGTAGTCTTCATCTCTCTGGGCAACTGTTGTGATGGCACGGATGAAGATCTCTTCTTCTTCTGGCTCCCAGCGTGAAGACTTTAGCTTGTCACCGTATTGCAGGTAGTCGCGCCATCGATTTTGGCAGTCGTGCATTGATCGATCGCCCATACCTACTTCAATCACTTTCCACTTGTTTGGGTGTTGCGAGTACAGATCCCTGAGTAGCTGGTCCTCTTCATCGGTCCATGCTCCACTCTTGAACATGTGGTATGTTTGCCGGATGTGTCTTCTCATTCTGTCAAAGGAACGTTTTGTGGTAATGTTTTTTATGTCATTCCAAAACTCGGCGCTCTCCCGCGCATTGTCCATATCTTGTGGCGTCCAGTCATTCTTTCCCGATACTTCACCGTTGGTACGGTTGAGAGCGGGGTCTTGCTTACTCCATTGGATGATTCTTACGAGCTGAGGTATCTCCAATTCCTTCCTATCTTGATAATCCCGGACAGCTCTTCGGATCAGCTCTTCTTCATCCGCAGTGAAATCGCCCGTCGTCCGGAGATCTGGGGGATAGTTCACGGTATGATCCACGCCTGCTAGAGCCCTCTCCGCTGCGGTACCCGTTTGGACGTTCTTTCTCTTATAACTGAACTTGCCACTCTCCCGCCGCGGCGTAGCTTTCTTCGTGGTTGATTTTCTCTTTTTCTTTTTCTCCCTCTTTTCAAATTCGTTGCGACTGCTGTCGTCGGGTGGAGGGTCGCGGTTACTGTCTTCGTC